AACTGGTGCACATTTTCTTTACACTTATTGTATTGGGTGTTTCATAAAATGTAAATGTTAAAGCGGTGACAACAGAGATTACAGCGATGTGCTCAAAGTTTCAACTGTTTGACTCTGCCTTTGCCTTACTGTACCAGACCCAACAGCGTTTCGAATTTTACTCCAAAGTTTTTTATAACCGTCGCGTACCTCGGGCAGTCTCACGCCGTACAACAGGGGGTCGCATAAACCGTTCACCATCCCCAATGTTCCCGTGACCACGTGCGCAACAGCCATTTCATTGCTGGTCAGGAATTCCTTTTCCGTAATGTACGCCCGCAGGCCGAACGTTATAGCCAGTGGGGTCCAAAATATCACTACAGTCCCTGACAACCAGATGACTGTCACCACCAATTTTCTGTCACTGTGCGTCGTACCGGTGTCTATTTCATCTGTCGTCCGTTGTCTGGAAACGCCGGTGTTGCCTATGATGGCACGCGCTTTGACGAACAGCACTCCGTTAAGAATCAAATTAAGGAGACACATCGTGGTGCAAGTGACTGCAAGATACCAAAGACTGGCCACGGAATAGTCGTTTGCGAAGTATTTGGAGCAGTTCTCTTGGGACGTTGTTGCTAACTTTGCCACGTGAAATGCGACGTACGTTACGGCGACGAAGGCGTAACTCACCGACAGAATAATTTTCACAACGCGTGTTCCCACCAGAATCTTGTATCGCAGTGGATATGTAAGAGCCAAGATCTGGTTGATCAAGATGAACGTAGTGTTGACAAGCGGCAGCTGTACTCCGCACATAAGAAGGTCCTGGATAACGTCCACAACACACATAAATGTGGATTTGTCCTCAGGGTCTGATGAGTTCTTTATGTGGACCACAGTGAGGCTGGTCATTAAAGCAAGAACGAGGACTAGCAAGTCCGTGGCAGCTAGATGAGTGATCAGAATCTGAAGCGGCTGAAATGGTCGACGCATATGGTAAATTGCAGCGAGTGATACAGCGTTTTCTACAATGCCGATGCTTACAATGACCATGCACACGATGTGCAGTGCTTGAAAAATATGTAAACCATCCTCAGACAAAACTGGGAAACGCCACGGAGGGATTCCAACTGAAAATGTTGCATTGAATTGCTGTGACATTTCAACTTTGTTCGGTGTTTAGAACTGTATTTCACAATGGTTTTATTCCATTGTTCGCACTGTCCTATAAATAATTCACATACCAGTTCAATTCGTATCTCGCGTTTCAAAATCTTTCGACGTAAACAATCACAGTAGGTCCTATAGTATAAATTAAATTTGGGATATCACCTCTTACTTGCTCTAAAATCCGTCCAATGAAATATTGTCTGAATTTTAGTCGAGTGTAGTCCAATTACCAACTAGCCGTCCAAGTGCGGTAGTATATTTCAGACGACAATGGATTACTGAGTCTGTGGCGTGACGTGATTTGATGTAGGATATAAACCAAATGAAGCATACGATGGCTGGAAACTCCAAGAACCCGGATCAAAATTGATCATGTGTATAATACAAAGCAAAATATTACTGTTGCAATAGCACTATTAATTGGTTATCTCATATATTGCATGGTCTGAGTGGAGATCAAATAGGCTCTATTCTGTCAGGACATTTGTCTTCAGAGCTGCTAATTGCAGAAATGCTTAGTTACCCGGACATTCATCATTATCTCTGAGCTCGCTAAAATGTATTTTTGGCCCATCAATTACTTTGAAAGCTTAATAGGATTTCACGTAATTGGTTTCGTCGTTGGTGGAATGAATTCAATTCTTACAAAACCCAACAAAGCAATCATAACGCTTGACACATTAATATAATTAAGTTCACAAACGGCGGAGTTTTTACAACAGATAACAGTAACGTAATATATACTCGCTATTCAAATGAAAAAGCTAAACGCACCTTAAATAAAATACTTGAAAAAAGACGAATTTTTTGTTATTTGAAACTCAAACTAGTTTTGTGATTATTAACCACAGTTTGACTTTAAAGTACCGTGTTTAAATGCATTTAATCCCCAAAAGATATACACCTAATAACATGTCGGGATATGACAAAGGATATTGATTGGGCAGACAGAAATTGAAATAAAATTGTTCGTAGAGCAATAACTTGCGAAAAGTCGTAATTTTTTTTAGAATATTAAATTGGCGGGTATTTGTACGTTTTCACCCTTTTTTAATTAGCGAGTGGACTATTCTGTCAATGGCCTTGGTTGTAAAAGTGCGTACTTCTTATATCGTAAAACACCCCATAATTATATAGGACCTCATTTTGCTTGTGGAGGGCTGTTAACATTCATCCTCATTTGCTGGCTCTACTGAAATTGTCACAAAACCAAATTTTGAATAACCATTTCCTTAGAAAAAATTCTACATAAAAACGCTTAATGTTGGAGAGCTATGGTATTAAATGGGCCATATCAATTTTCAAATCTCTGTTTCCAAAATTAAGGATATGAATGACTTTCAAAAATTGTGAATATTTTCATGTTTTTCACCTGTCAGATCCAGATGGTAGCCCGCTCCGGAATAAAGCTTCTTATTGTTAAAGGACAACACCTATAGTATCGTCCTATCATCCTACAAAACTGGTGGTGAATAAATCAGAAATTGAATTTTATGGGAATTTTTAAGTGTTGAAATTGTAATTTTTTAATATTGCATTTATAACTTTGAAAATAAATTCTCTCTGTCCAAAATCTGGATCAGATGAAACTTGGTGAAATCATAGATAGACCCACCCTACATTAGCCAAAGAAAGAGGGGTGCATTCACAAACATCTCGATTTTCTGTGATTTTTTTTAAAACAACTTTGTCCCATATTAAAAGATATGGATTTTCAAATTTTTTTTTCAATCCAGACAAAGTTGCCCATGTTAACCAAAAAACTTAGGCCGCTGTCCGAAATCATACCAATTTGTGGAATATTTACAAAACAATTACTTGAAAATTTCGGCTCCTACAGTGCAAACATAGCAACAAACAAACAATTGAGCAGACTTTCAAACCTGCATTTTTTTCACTAGTAATATTTTTCAATAAAAATCATTGACGTACATCATTCAAAACGAATGGAGCTAACAATGGACATTAAGGAGAAAAGTGCTGAAAGCTTGAACTTTGATACATTTTAAAACAGTATTTCTACCCCCTCTGGCTTCCAATTTTGATAGTAGCCATTGAAGACCGTTTTATTCTGTATCTTTTCAAATTAATCGTCTGGCATATGCTTGAGGTGGTCAGTCAAATAAGTGCAGTGCGTTGGCAGCGGTTTGCAATATTTCTAATTGTAAAACCAAGTGTTCTAAATATTTCAGTCATTTGAAAACAATCATTACAAATATGTTCATCAAGTTGATGCCAGAGTAGGCTTTGTGCTTTTGGGCTTGTGTTCCATACTATTCAAATATTGGATACGGTTTAAAGTTCCAAGTGACAATTGCCGGCCCTGATGAACGTTCACCTTATTGACTTAACCAATAAGGACACGTGGACAATCTACACTGTAAAAACAGTGTTTAGCATTTAAATACATACAACACACGTTAGGCACCTATACGCATTTAGAAATCTGTGTAAATGCTAAACGCGTATAGCTTTTCAAATGTTTCACAGAAGAAAAAGCTAGACACGTTGGTATTGTTACACGTTTAGCTATGTGTTTAGCTTCACCGGCATATGATTCTATAACAAGTCTATCACAAGCTAAGCACATTGGCTAAGCACTTCCCCTGCTAAGCGAGTGAGGCTGCTAAACATATGGAGCTGCTATAGGTGTGGAATTCCTTAACGCGTGGAGCTGCTAAACAACATGTTTAGCTTTTCAAGCTCGTCACAGAAAAAAATGCTTCACAATCCCATAGATACGATCCCATAACAAGTTTATTACAAGACTCAACAATTTTGCTTAACACTTCCCCTTATAAACATATGGGGCGGTTGGAGGCGAGAAGCAGCCTGCTCGAACGCGTTGTGTCCTTCCTTGCAGTAACGTGTGATTATTTAAAATAGGCCTATTAAGTAATAATCCAAATAACAAATAACGTTTTCACGACGTTATCAGCTGGTTACATGATGGTGATGGTATAGAATAACGTCATGGTAACGTTATGGATGTTTTTAACTCCATGCAAAATGATGCCCTTGCTGTTTTATAAGCGTTTTATAACATTCTGGAAAAACATTATTTAATGTTTTGAAAACTTTTTTTATTAATCACCAAAACACGTTTTATGCTGTATGAACTACAGTTAGCGGTTAATTCCAAAATGGCTTGGGTTAGTCGGCGACTAGAGCGGTGCGATTTGAAAAATATTCGGACTATCGTTACCAAAATAACCAGCATGTAATGAAAGCTTAAATAAACCATTATAATGAACACCCCACCATCATCCTGATGTTCTATTGTTCATTACTTCCGGAAAAAATAAATGAACATCAATACCTTAATGCATTTTGTCAAAATATGAAAAAAATGTTTTAAAGTAAAAGTGATAGTTGTTTCGTGTCTTTAGTAAACTAGTGAATTTTCCTAACTTGTTTTTCAGAAATATATTCCAATTAACTTCCTCGCAAGGTCAGCTAACACAAGGATGAATAAGTCCCGCTGCAAAGATGATGGTGTGGATCAACTATGTTGATAGTTCACGGTATCCTGTTATAGATAAAAATAGCTATAGCAGTTAAAGGTGACCGTGACTTCGCGCTCGCGTGTGTGTGTGTGTGTGTGTGTGTGTGTGTGTGTGTGTGAGAGAGAGAGAGAGAGAGAGTGACTGAAACAGTTGAAAACGTTACAACCTTAAAGTTAAACAAATACACCCTACATTTATTAGGCGTCAAGCACGTCAAAGCGTGTAACATGTTAATAGGCTAAACGTGCTTAGGTCCTAAACGCGTAGAAAAAATGAGACAAAACAGGCGCTTAGAAATGTGTCTCAGAGCTAAACACTAGCTGTTTTTACAGTGTACATGTATTATCAAGACTATAATATACACGTATTATGTTTTCAACTGTTACAACTAAAAACATTCCTGGAAAGCCGTCTCCATACCTTCCACTTTCATCATTTCAACTAACTAATGTCTGTTATTGCATTTCAGTTAATAGTATATAACACTCATTTTATAAGATGCCATAAAAATTCAACAAAGTATCACTGTAAAGGTTCATATCCGGGGGGTCTTTGGAGAGCTGCCTTCACTCTTTCCCAGAAGAGGTCTTGACCTTCTTCCTCGCGAGGCCACTCTATGTAGGTCTGCTTCCTTAGCAACAGGGTCAGTCTGTTGCTGAGGTTCTCAGGTTTGATGTCCTCGAGCAATACCAAGACCAGAATATCTTTGTTCTCATCAAATAGCTTGTGCTGAGCCATCGTCATTTCCAATTGGCACCATTGACTTTCAGCAAAGTTGTTGGACAATACGAGAATCGTCTTCCTACTGACCTCTAAAGCGTCCACGATGTTATCCAAGATGTCATGGCCTACGATGAAATCTCTGTCGTGAAGACAAAGCTTGAAACCAGCGTCATATTCCAATTTCGGAAGCAGTCTTTGTATAACCCAGTGGCGATCGTGGCAGTTGTAGGACACAAACGCGTCGAATACGAAGTTACCGTTATTTTCAAAAGGTTCTAGACGCTTGTAACGCGAACGTAAGGTAAAGCACCAGTAGCGTATGTACCATCGATAACGGTGGGACACCACTATCACGAGTGCCAGAAATAACAGTGTAGGGACTCCGATGGCGCTGGCTATGACCCATGCTGGCAGCGGCGTGCATTGGGCCTTGGTAGGATGCCAATCTAGAAACGGAGTTTTTGCCAGTTTTTCGGGTGCGTAACACTGGTAGTAATGGGGCTGTAGGAGTTTTACCTTGGTGGATTGCATCCAATTCCGAAACCATAAATTTTCACACGTACAGGAAAAGGGGTTTCCCGCTAAATTAATTTCCGTCAGATTAGTCCATATGAACTGCGGAAACGACGTTTCATTTAGAATACGAATGTTATTGTGATCCATGAACAGCTTTTTTAATGACAGTAGCGGTTGGAAAACGATTGGATCCCACGTTGACAGGTAGTTGGATTGCAGTTGAAGCGTACTCAGCATTCTATTGTTAGCAAATATTTTTGGAGGAAGGTTTGCCAGCTTTGAGTTATGAATATACAGTTTCCGGAGTTTTGTGAGATTGCGGAACATAGTCACTAATGCGGTAGAATTCATATCATTCAACTGGTTGTTGTGCATAGAAAGATCGTGTAAGTTTGGTGAATTTGAGAATATGTCACATTGGTCCGAGGAAAAGCTGTATTTGTTCATGCTTATGTCAAGATAGATGAGGGAATTGCTGGCAAGCGCCATCGGTAAAATCGATCGCAAATTCAGCTGATGCCTTAACATAACATGTTGCAATTTGGGCATGTATTTAAACATGTTGCCTGGTAGAATTTGGATTAAATTCCATCCTAAGTCTAACTTTTTGACACCTTTTAAGGCTATGAAATCAGTAGGTGTGACAAAGTTAATGGGATTTTTACCCAAGCTTAATTCAAACAGATTTGGGAAGAATGGATGCGTTTCATTTCCAAAGTTTGGAATTTTGCTCAAGTGGTTATTGCGTAAATCCAGCCAGCGTAGATTCCTCAAACCAGCAAAGGTATCAGTCTCTACAGTTTGTAGACCATTTCCTCGAAAAAGGAGGGTTCTCAAATTGGTCAGATCTGCGAAAATTGAACCTGGAAGAGTGGTGATGCCATTATTGTGCAAGCCCAACTGTGTAAGATTGCTACCTTTGAGGCAACGGAAAAGAGACCTGTTTAGTGTTCTAGAGAGTTTTTTCAATTTGCTTATTGAAAGTACTTGTATTGTTTTAGATGTATAACAGAACACTGGCTCCAGAATATCCAGAGGTAATCTAGTGTTTTCCGTCAGATTTATGAAACGTATGTTGATCAAGGGTTGAAAGGCAGCAATGTCTATGTCAGTCAGATTGTTGCTGCCCAGCGACAGATTTTTCAGTTGAGAAAGGCCTGCAAAAGAATCGTTTTGCAAAGTGACTATCCGGTTGCCGGTGAGGAACAGAGACAAGGTCGCATTGTCGCACTTGGGGACCTGGGTCAGGTTCAAATAATTACAATTCACCTTTCTACGGTGATGATCGCATCGACACCCTTGTGGACAGTAGAAAGCTTCAACCGTCCAGTTAATTAGCATAAAAATCACCAGTACCGCAACTGCTGTCTTCATGTTGGAACAAACCTGTGGATGAAAACAACGGCATATATTTCTCATATTTTTCAACGTATATACAGTATGTTGGTATCTACACCTTGAGAAAGTTAAATATTTAGAAGATTCCCCAGCCGGCAAATTATGTTGTTTTAACGTTGGTATGGCCTTTAAGTTAAAATTTCCAAGGTTAATACATATATATATATATATATGTATAATCCTTGGAAATTTTAACTATATATATATATATATACACAGGATACCGAGAACTGTCACCTTTATTTACTTCACTGCATCACATTTACAGGAACTTATTCATCCTAGTATTAGCTGACCTTGCAAGGAAGTTTATTGGAATGTATTTATGAATAACAAGTTTAGAAAATGCACTTGTTCACTACAGACACAAAACAACTGTCACTTTTACTTTAAAACACTTTTTTATTATTTTGATAAAGTTAGTTACAGTATTGATAAACAAAGTATCACGTTTTCAATAATTAATATTTTAAATTACAATCCATGTCTGCAAGGTTGTGTCAATGACCAAAATACAACGTTGAGTCAACGTCACATTATGACGGTGTTTTGACGTGGCTGGATCAACGTTGATTTTACGTTGAATTTAGGTAGATCATCGGCAATTAAACGTATCAACCTGTTTTCAACGTTGATCCAACTCGACTATGCCTGCTGGGTTCAGTCCCAAGCTCTAGTATCCCTGTCCTTGTGAAGGTCCTAACCAAACAGGTACAATATTCGTGCACCTCTAGCAACGACACTGATGAAATGTTTAGTAAGTATTATCCCACGGTATCTTAACTCCAATAACACCATGGTATGGCTTGATTATATATCTGTTTCTACAAGTATATCCAAGATTCTGATCAGGAAAATCACGAATTCATGCATACCATGTTGTGGCAAATAAATGTCTTGAGCTCAGGGGCGGATCAAGGATTGTTTGAAGGGGGGAATGGAACGACAGAGCTGGGTTTAGGTCCTGCTGAAGGGGCCCGTAAAATCTTTGGTGTTTTGGAGAGCAAACAGTACCCTTTGGTAAGGTTTAGAACTATGATTTAGTTAGTTAAAATTCTAATTTCAAGAGGGGGAATATTGGAGTGATATATTTTTCAGAAACCGAAGGGGGGAGGGGGTCAGGACCCCCTGACCCCCTCTAAATCCGCCACTGAATAGACATGGATTTGGAATCTATATTCAATAAGGCCTACATAGACGAGAAAACATTTCAAAATCGATAACCCCTTTGAAATTTATTTGGTTTGTCAAAAGATACGGCAAGCGCAAGAAAAGTCCGTATCATTTCTTAACACATATCAGTGCGAGACAAAAGCAACACAATTAAGGCTGTGAATAAAGGTAAAAAAAGATAAGGTATGCCGGTCAAAAATTTTCATATAGCTTGTCCAAGATGACCTCTTTGTATCAAAAAATGCTACCGTGGCTTATAAGTATATACTAATTTCTATAATCTTTCACAATTTAGCAAATTGAGTAAAGCTGAATACAAGTGTGTGCTTCCTGGCGGCACTAAATACTGTTGAAGATACAAGACAGTGTAGGCAAAAGGAAAAAAAAAACGTTCCAAAGTCAAACATGGACTGGTATTTGAAAAGCCTGTGGCCTATATAAAGATATTTACTCCAGTGATGCAGCTATGAGTGGCAGTATTTATATAATTATCTACTTATCTACCGGTAGAAGTGGAGTGTTTGCGTTTACAACGGTCAAAGATATCCACGTTACATCCACATTTGCTTCCTGGTTAAGATTTGCTTCCTAGGCTCATATGAACATAAAATTCATTAATAGTTACGAAAACATGAAGGTATAAAACAATGATATATTAAGTATGAGTTGCAGTTTAATACATGCCTTGGAAGTTAGGTTCGTTTATTTTAATTAAAATTCCTACGCATGATTAAAAACATGGGGGGGGGGGTCACAATGGAGAAAACTAAACACGCCGAGCTACATGTATTACTATTGAATAAGTATTTCAAAATAGGTTCATATAAAATTGCTTTCGATGGCGCAATCACACACACGCGCACACGCACACACACACCTTGACAGAGGTTTGACCTCTGCGTTCTATAGAAGTGAAGTTGACAACAGGAAGCAATAAAATAGAATAACCTTAATTAATATAATCTGGATTTATGCTACAAACTTAACAATCACGAAAACCTCTCACCTTTAATTGTGCCTCTAGGTATTGTAAACTATATTGCAGCACGTTTTATCTTTCAGGGAGAGTTTTTAAAAAAATTAGTCTAGCACCTCCACCATCAAACCTGTGACTATATCGATCATCCAGGAAGTACAATGCACGTATCGGGCATATGTGTAGGGTGAAAGGGAATGCACCTGTAAGTAGTTACTATAAGGTCATAACACTAGGGGGCCTTTAAGATGACCTACATATGACAAGCAAAAAGGAAACAGCACGTGGACCGAAGAGAGATCATAAAGATATATTTTAAAGTAGACATTTTGACATTGAGAAGTGATTGCCAATATCCATATTTAGAGTGTTTGGGAGATATTTATAAAAAATAAACTGAAACACAGTTTTCCCTCCAGTGCAATCGACCTGACCTGCATACCTTCTTGCGCTGATAAAATCCGTGTGCACACGGTTTTATTGACCGGCTTATGTTCTTAACAAACATTTTTCATTTAATTTATATTTTATTTAATCATTTATGTTATTTAATTCATTTATTTATTTATTGCAAACATCTTGTATGAATACATATACCTTTTGACCTATCCAGATTATTTGTGAGTTTTTATTTATTTTTTCTAACAAGTATATAAGGAAGTTATTTATTCAGACAGAGTGTAGCATAAGCTCTGCTGTTATACGTGCCTTTGCATGGCAAATGCATTTTGATGTCTAGATTACAAACAGGTGGGTTATTAACTTCTTATTATCAGTCTAGCTTTATAACACAGGCCTGGGCCTATCATAATTATTGTTTTTTTGACATCATTACTCAAGTCTACAAACAGTACGCTTTGGGTGGGGTGGGTGGAATGCCCTCTATATGCTTTAGGAGAACTAATAAAAATCATATTCACTCCCAGATGATGCTGGAAAAGGTTATCATTTTTAACTTTTCACCTGAAGTCCTGGAAAGGATTATTCTATTATTTGTACACTTGTGAAAATAATGATAAAATGGATGAACCCTAACATAAGCGATTATCATTGCCAGCCTGTATCCCTACTTTTTCCACCATTGTTTTTTTTTTTTTTTTTTTTTTTTTTTTTTTTTTTTTTTTTTTNTTAGTTAGTTAAAATTCTAATTTCAAGAGGGGGAATATTGGAGTGATATATTTTTCAGAAACCGAAGGGGGGAGGGGGTCAGGACCCCCTGACCCCCTCTAAATCCGCCACTGAATAGACATGGATTTGGAATCTATATTCAATAAGGCCTACATAGACGAGAAAACATTTCAAAATCGATAACCCCTTTGAAATTTATTTGGTTTGTCAAAAGATACGGCAAGCGCAAGAAAAGTCCGTATCATTTCTTAACACATATCAGTGCGAGACAAAAGCAACACAATTAAGGCTGTGAATAAAGGTAAAAAAAGATAAGGTATGCCGGTCAAAATTTTTCATATAGCATGTCCAAGATGACCTCTTTGTATCAAAAAATGCTACCGTGGCTTATAAGTATATACTAATTTCTATAATCTTTCACAATATAGCAAAGTTGAATACAAGTGTGTGCTTCCTGGCGGCACCTGGCGGCACTAAATACTGTTGAAGATACAAGACAGTGTAGGCAAAAGGAAAAAAAAAACGTTCCAAAGTCAAACATGGACTGGTATTTGAAAAGCCTGTGGCCTATATAAAGATATTTACTCCAGTGATGCAGCTATGAGTGGCAGTATTTATATAATTATCTACTTATCTACCGGTAAAAGTGGAGTGTTTGCGTTTACAACGGTCAAAGATATCCAGGTTACATCCACATTTGCTTCCTGGTTAAGATTTGCTTCCTAGGCTCATATGAACATAAAATTCATTAATAGTTACGAAAACATGAAGGTATAAAACAATGATATATTAAGTATGAGTTGCAGTATAATACATGCCTTGGAAGTTAGGTTCGTTTATTTTAATTAAAATTCCTACGCATGATTAAAAACATGGGGGGGGTCACAATGGAGAAAACTAAACACGCCGAGCTACATGTATTACTATTGAATAAGTATTTCAAAATAGGTTCATATAAAATTGCTTTCGATGGCGCAATCACACACACGCGCACACGCACACACACACCTTGACAGAGGTTTGACCTCTGCGTTCTATAGAAGTGAAGTTGACAACAGGAAGCAATAAAATAGAATAACCTTAATTAATATAATCTGGATTTATGCTACAAACTTAACAATCACGAAAACCTCTCACCTTTAATTGTGCCTCTAGGTATTGTAAACTATATTGCAGCACGTTTTATCTTTCAGGGAGAGTTTTTAAAAAAAATTAGTCTAGCACCTCCACCATCAAACCTGTGACTATATCGATCATCCAGGAAGTACAATGCACGTATCGGGCATATGGGTAGGGTGAAAGGGAATGCACCTGTAAGTAGTTACTATAAGGTCATAACACTAGGGGGCCTTTAAGATGACCTACATATGACAAGCAAAAAGGAAACAGCACGTGGACCGAAGCGAGATCATAAAGATATATTTTAACGTTGACATTTTGACATTGAGAAGTGATTGCCAATATCCATATTTAGAGTGTTTGGGAGATATTTATAAAAAATAAACTGAAACACAGTTTTCCCTCCAGTGCAATCGACCTGACCTGCATACCTTCTTGCGCTGATAAAATCCGTGTGCACACGGTTTTATTGACCGGCTTATGTTCTTAACAAACATTTTTCATTTAATTTATATTTTATTTAATCATTTATGTTATTTAATTCATTTATTTATTTATTGCAAACATCTTGTATGCATACATATACCTTTTGACCTATCCAGATTATTTGTGAGTTTTTATTTATTTTTTCTAACAAGTATATAAGGAAGTTATTTATTCAGACAGAGTGTAGCATAAGCTCTGCTGTTATACGTGCCTTTGCATGGCAAATGCATTTTTATGTCTAGATGACAAACAGGTGGGTTATTAACTTCTTATTATCAGTCTAGCTTTATAACACAGGCCTGGGCCTATCATAATTATTGTTTTTTTGACATCATTACTCAAGTCAACAAACAGTACGCGTTGGGTGGGGTGGGTGGAATGCCCTCTATATGCTTTAGGAGAACTAATAAAAATCATATTCACTCCCAGATGATGCTGGAAAAGGCTATCATTTTTAACTTTTCACCTGAAGTCCTGGAAAGGATTATTTTATTATTTGTACACTTCTGAAAATAATGATAAAATGGATGAACCCTAACATAAGCGATTATCATTGCCAGTCCTGTATCCCTACTTTTTCCACAATTTTTTTTTTTTTTTTTTTTTTTTTTTTTTTGCCAATTTAAGATCCAAGTTGCGCTATTTAAACTGTAGTGTAAAGACATCAAAAGAATTGCCTGCAGTCACAACCAGTAACTAGTCCGCGGATCAAATATGGCGCGCACTTGACAATGGATTCCTGCCGCCCACGGTTCCAGCAGGGGGCAGGGCATTTAAATCTCGGCACGCATTTAAATTGATGGTGCCATATTTGATCCGCGGACCTGTTAATCCGTGGATCAGATGGCCCTAATGTGTCCACTGTCTTAAGGACCATTCCCAGACACTATTGTACTACCTGTTGATCTATCTATCTCCTAGGGGATCGTAGCTAAACGATAATTATTATCCCCTAGGAGCTTCAGTAGGCGTGATAGACATCTAAGCCGGTAAGGTTGATCGCAATTTAGCAAGAATCCTCTTGGAGATAGATCAATCCACAGTTTGTACGATAGGGTCTAGGAATGGTGTGTTAATTACCGACACGACAGTACAAGAATTAAGTGTACTAGTAATATTCTATTCTAATGAACGTGAATTATTGGTTTTACAACACCGAGGGGACCGTGCAAAACAACTTGTGGTAGAGAAATGTACTCTTAAAACAATACATAATCCTGTTTTTATAAATCAATGTATTCCATGATACGTAACAATACATTAAATATATATAAAAAGTGTATAAATGAAATATAAATGCTCTGTGCCGGATAAATAACAATAATTTTGAATGATATATTACAATATGTAGCAATATTTAAATATTATATTTTACAATACAAAACAATATTTCAAAATTGACTACATATTTCGCTTTTTTTTTTTTTTTTTTTTTTTTGGTCGTTTAAATCATTCTAAAAACAGAAAGATAAAACTGTTTATTAGCTCATTATTACAGTATTAAAGTTATATTAGATTCACTTGGTTTATTTTTAGGGCTGGATGTGTAATACCATTATAGCATTCCATGCCCAGAGTGTATTTGGAGAGATGCCTTCACTCTTTCCCAGAAGAGCTCTTGACCTTCTTCCTCGCGAGGCCACTCTATGTAGGTCTGCTTCCTTAGCAACAGGGTCAGTCTATTGCTGAGGTTCTCAGGTTTGATGTCCTCCAGCAATATCAAGACCAGGATATCCTTGTTCTCATCAAATAGCTTGTGTTGAGCCATCGTCATTTCCAATTGGCACCATTGACTCTGAGCAAAGTTGTTGGACAATACGAGAATCGCCTTTCTACTGACCTCTAAAGCGTCTACGATGTTATCCACGATGTCATGGCCTACGATAAAATCTCTGTCGTGAAGACAAAGTTTGAAACCTGCGTCATATTCCAATTTCGGGAGCAGTCTTTGAATAACCCAGTGGCGATCATGACAGTTGTAGGACACAAATGCGTCGAATACGAAGGCACCGTTATCTTCAAACGGTTCGAGGCGTTTGTAACGGGAACGCAGTGTAAAGCACCAGTAGCGTATGTACCATCGATAACGGTGGGACACCACTATCACGAGTGCCAGAAATAACATTATAGAGACCCCGATGGCACTGGCTATGACCCATGCTGGTAGCGGCGTGCATTGGGCTTTGGTTGGATGCCAATCTAGAAATGGAGTTTTTGCGGAGTAACAAATGTATTTATGGAGCTGTAGGACTTTTGCCTTGGTGGATTGTATCCAATTCCGGAACCATAAATTTTCACACGTACAGGAAAAGGGGTTTCCCGCCAAATTAACTTCCGTCAGATTAGTCCATATGAACTGCGGAAACGACGTTTCATTTAGAATACGAATGTGATTGTGATCCATGAACAGATGTTTTAATGACAGAAGCGGTAGGAAAACGATTGGATCCCACGTTGACAGGTAGTTAGATTGCAGTTGAAGCGTACTCAGCATTCCATTGTTAACGAACATTTTTGCAGGAAGGTTTGCTAGTTTAGAGTTTTGGAGGTACAGTTTCCTTAGTTTTGTAAGATTGCGAAACACAGTTTCTAATGCGGTAGAATTCATATCATTCAACTGGTTGTCATGCATAGACAGATCGTGCAAGTTTGGTGAATTGGAGAATATGTCACATCGGTCTGAGGAAAAGGTATATTTGTTCACGCTTATGTCAAGATAGATGAGAGAATTGCTGGCAAACGCCATCTGTAAAATCGATCGCAAATTCCGCTGATTCCTTAACAAGACATGTTGCAATTTGGGCATGTATTTAAACATGTTGCCTGGTAGAATTTTGATTAAATTCCATCCTAAGTCTAACTTTTCGGCGCTTTGTAAGGCTATGAAATCAGTAGGTGTGACAGAGTTAATGTTATTTTTACCCAAGCTTAATTCAAACAGTTTTGGAAAGAATGGATGCGTTTCATTTCCAAAGTTTGGAATTTTGTCCAATTGGTTATCGCGTAAATCCAGCCAGCGTAGATTCCTCAAACCAGCAAATGTATTGGTCTCTACAGTATCTAAATTATTTCCTCGTAAAAGGAGTATTCGCAAATCCGTCAGATCTGCGAAAATGGAGCCTGGAAGTGCGTGGATGCCGTTATTGCTTAAATCCAATTGTGTAAGATTGCTATTTCTGAGGCAACGGAAAAGGGAACTTTTTAGTGTTTTAGTTTTGGAGAGTTTTTTCAAGTTGTACAGCGACAGTACTTGTATTGTTTTAGATATATAACAAAACACTGGCGCAAGGCTATCAAGAGGTAATATCGTATTTTCCGCTAGATTTATCAAACGTATGTTGATCAAGGGTTGAAAGGTAGCAATGTCTATGTCAGTCAGAAGGTTGCTGACCAGCGACAGATTTTTCAGTCGAGAAGGGCCTGCAAATGAATCGTTTTGCAAAGTGGCTATCCGGTTGCCGGTAAGGAACAGAGACAAGGTCGAATTGTCGCACTTAGGGACCTGTGTCAGGTGCAAATGATTACAATTCACCTTTCGAAGATGGGGATCGCATCGACATCCTTGTGGACAGTAGAAAGCTTCAGCCGTCCAGTTGTTTAGCATAAAGATAACCAGTACTGCAACAGCTGTCCTCATGTCGTCACAAACCTGCGGATGAAAACAATGGCATATATTTCTCATATTTGTTAACGATGATGTGTTGGTATCTGCATCTTAAGAATGTTAAACATCTAGAAGATTCAGGTCCAAGCTCTAGTAACCCTGTCCTTGTGAAGGTCTTAACTAAACAGGTACAATATTCATGTCCCTGTATATGTAGCTATAACATTGATGAAATGTTGAGTACATATTATCACATAGGCACGGCATCAGGTATGGTTTCGTTACATAGGCTGTTAATTTTCTACTAGTATAGCTAAGATTTTGATCAGGAAATCACAATTTCATGAATACAATGTTGTGACAAAAAAGTCTCGAGCTCAGGGGCAGATCAAGGATTATTTGAAGGGGCGTCCGGAACGGCAGACCTCGGATGCGAAGCCGTCTATCGCCCCTTTGTGTGGGTTTGCTCCCCGCTCAAGGCCCCCAAAATTATTTTGGTATTTTGGAGAGCAAACATTGCCATTTGGTATGGTTTAGAACTACGATTTAGTTAGTTAAAATTCTAATTTCAAGAGAGGAATATTGGAGTGATAAATTTTTCAGAAACTGAAGGGGAAGGGGGTCAGGAACCCTTGACTTCCCCCCCCCCCCCCCCCTCTAAATCTGCCACTGAATAGACATGGTTTTGGAATCTGTCTTCAATAAGGCCTGCATAGATGAGAAAACATTTCAAAATCTATCATCCTTTTGAATGTTATTTGGTTTGGCAAAACATAAGAAATGTTACCACGGTACGCGTAAGAAAAATACGTGTTACTTCTTAACACATACCAGTGCGAGACAAAAGCAACACAATTAAGGCTGTAAATAAAGGTTAGAAAAAACAAATACAAAGAAATTGCAAATAGCATGTTCATTATGACCTGTATGTATCAAACAAAAAAATGCGACCATGCCAAATACTAATTTCTTTAATCTTTCACAATCTAACATAATCGAGTAAAGTTGAATTTATAGCAGTGTGTGCTTTTTGGCAGCACTAAATACTGTCGAAAATACAAGACAGTGTTGGCAAAAGAAAAAAATAAAGTCAAACACAGCAAACATGGACTGAAATTTGAAAAGCCTGTGTAATTGACTGCAACCAGTGGCCTATATATAGATATTTACTCAAGTGATGCAGCTATGAATGTCAGTGTTTATATTACAATCTAGAAGTCACGTAGTGTTTGCGTTCACAACGGCCAAACATAACGAGGTTACACCCAACTTTGCTTCCTGGTTAAGATTTGCTTTCTAGGCTCATATAAACATAAAATTCATGAACAGTTTCAAAAACATGAAGGTATTAAACAATGATTTATTAAGTACGAGTGCCAGTATAATACATGTCTTGGAAAGTAGGTTCGTTTTTCTATTCCTATGCATGATTAGAAAACATGGGGGCTCACAATGGAGAAAAGTAGTCAGGCCGAGTTACATGTAGTACTATTGAATAAATATTTCAAAATAGGTTTATATAGAATTGCTTTCGATGGGGCACGTACACACACGCACAAGCACACACACACACACACACACACGCACACACACTTTGACAAAAAAAAACTGTGGAAATTTAACCTCTGCGTTCTATCGAAGTGAAGTTGACAACAGGAAGCAGTAAGATAAGATCAGAATAACCTTAATTCATATAATCTGGATTTATGCTACAAACGTAATAATCACAAAAACCTCTCACCTTTAATTGTGCCTCTAGATATTGTAAGATATGTTGTATACGTTTTACCTTCCACGTGGATAATGGGAGGGTTTTATAAAATTAGTCTAGCACCTACACCATCAAACCTGTGACTGTAACGACAGGATCATCCAGGAAGTACAATCCGCGTATCGGGCGTATGGGTAGGGTGAAAGGGAATGTATCTGTAAGTAGTAACTTAGGTCATAACACTGGGGGGCCTTTAAGATGACCTACATATGACAAGCAAAAAGGAAACAGCACGTGGACCGAAGCGAGATCATAAATATATTTTGAACGTTTTGCCATTGAGAAGCGATTGCCAATATTCATACTTACAGTGTTTGAGAGATATTGGTAAATGCGTTTCCCGTCAGATACGGTCCTATTATAAGGTATTTATTTGTGCAAAATGCCCTTAAACTGAAACACATTTTTCACCTCCAGTGCAATCGACTTGACCTGTATACCTTATTGCGCTGTTAAAATGCATGCACACCGGTTGCATCAGTGACCGGTTTATGCATGTTCTCAACCAAAAATTACATTTTATTTATTTATTAATTTATTTATTTATTTATTTTAATTATTTGCTAACATCTTGTATGAATACGTATACCTTTTGACCTGTCCAGATTATTTTTTGCGTTTTTTTTTCTAACAGGTAAATAAGGAAGTTTTTTACTAAGAGAGAGAGTAAAGCATAAGCTCTGTTGTAATGCGTGTCTTTGCATGGCAAATGCATATTACTGCCTAGATAACAAACAGGTGGTTTATTTACTTCTTATTATCAGTCAAGTTTTATAACACAGACCTGGGCCTGTAATAATCATTATTTTTGACATCATTTCTCAAGTCTGCAAACAGTACGCGGTTGGTGGGGGGGAAATTGCCTCTATACGCTTTTGTAAAACTAATGAAATTATTATATTCACCCCCTAGCTGTGCTGGAAATGGTTATCATCATCACGCACCTGAAGGCCTGAAGAGGTTAATTCTTTCATTTGTACACTTGTGAAAATAAAATGATAAAATGGATGAACCCTAACATAAACGATTATCATTGCCAATTCTGTATCCCTACTTTTTCCACCATTTTTTTTTTTTTTTTTTTTTTTTTTTTGCCAACTTTCAGATCCAAGTTGCACTGTTAAAACGGTAGTGTAAAGACAACAAAAGGATTGTAACAATTTCTCGCAGTCATCTCCTGTGGCTGCCGTCATAACCAGTTGATCTGCGGACTAACTAGTCCGCGGATCAAACGTGGCGCGCACTTTACAATGGATTCCTGCCTCCCACGGTCCCAGGAGGGAAATTAAACGATAATTATTATCCCCTAGCAGCTTCAGTAGGTGTGACAGACATCTAAGCCGCATCAGTTGATTGTGTAGCCGGGCTTATTATTATTTTGTCAGTGATTGGGATAAATCTAGTCACAGAAATAAAACACCAGTCTCAGTTAGTTTCCAGAATCTGTATTGAACTATTTCCCCGATAAATGAAACACCTAAACGGAGTCTGCTCATACAATTATTGGGCCGTCTCTCCGTCTATCCTAGAATATAAATAACACAAAAATAGTAATTATCAAAAATACCAAGTTATGTAAGAATATTACGTAACTCAGACGTCCGTACGACGGACACTAATTGTCTCTTATCCAGGGGCGGATCCAGAGATATTTTCTGACAGTCTTCCATATTATATCTGTTGATCCATCCTCCAGTTTTTGACCGTCTTCCGACAGAAAAAAATTAGATACCAGTCAATGTAAGCTTGAAAATCTGACCGTCTTCCGGAAGACCCAGAAGACGGCCTAAATCCGCCCCTGCTTATCTATACATACAACATGAGTGGTACGTGTAACATCATAGGTCGCATTCAACGATCTGAACTACCGCATCTACTCTCCTCCAGCGGAGGCTATTCGTTGGGTTCGTCACTTATTATTTCAAGGCAGGCTAACAATAAAACAACTACCACTATTATGATAAATCAGTGTACTAAAATACACCGAGCACGCCGCACGCGTCAAGGCAATGCAAACCTTTAGAACACAACCGTACTAGCGTTCGCTAATGACCCGTTACAAACATGACCTGAGAAGTATGACATAATATTCTGAGCGCCTTTGTTCTAGCAAAAGCGGCATTATTCATTGAAATATTAAATAAAACGCTAGTTATCATTCCCGTTAGAGCACTGTAGAAAACAACGCACAAACTATTACTGTATTACTGCGCTAACAAAAGTAGAAAACGCAAAGTTACGATCTATGTCGGTAGCGTTTAACGGCATTAACTGGAGCTAGACTTCTTAACGTACGTAAAGCCACTTTTACATACCAGTATAGTAAACTTGAAACGTACTTTAAACTATAAAGTAGTAGTTATTTACTATGCTTACTTTCTATTCTGTTTCGCTGACTCGTTTACTCTAATTTTCCTCCGTTTTTTTCTTCGATGAGAAATTCACTATTGTATTCTGCTCTACGTTAAAGACAAAATGCGAAATCAGCGGATGAGACTAAAAACAAAGGAATTTTTGTGACCAATAAAATGTTAGTTTCGCTCATCAAGGGGATCTGGCCACCCTTGACGTCAGTAAACGAACCAACCCCCCGGTTAGCGAACAAATGGGCATCGGCCGCTCCCTAGACTTCCATTGTGCTGGTCCGCACATCTATCGCAATACTTACAATTGCAATTTAGCGAGAATCCCCTTGGATATAGATCGATCCACAGTTTGTACGATAGGGTCTGGGAATGGTCACTTAGTTACCGGTACGACAATAAAAGAATTAGGTGCACTAGTAATTTTCTATTCAAATGAACCTGAATTATTGGTATGACAGCACCCAGGGGATCGTGCAAAGCAATTTGTAAAGAAGTCCACTCTTAAAACAATATATAATCCTGTTTTACTAAATCAATGTATTCCAAGATACGTAATGATACATTATACTGTATATAACAATACATACATGTAATATAAATGCTATATGCATGATACATAGCAATATTTTAAATGATATATAACAATATATAACAATATTCCAAAATTGACTACACTGTACATTTTCGCCTTTTTGTCATTTAAATCATTCTAAAAGCAGAAAGATAAAACAGTTGATTAGCTCATTATTACAGTATTTAAAGTTAAACTTGATTCGCTTGGGTCATTTCTAGGGCCATGCAAAGTTTCTTAAAACTGGATGTGAAATATCATTATAGCGTTCCATGCCCATACGGTTTTTGGAGAGCTGCCTTCACTCTTTCCCAGAAGAGCTCTTGACCTTCTTCCTCGCAAGGCCACTTTATGTAGGTCTGCTTCCTGAGCAACAGGGTCAGTCTGTTGCTGAGGTTCTCAGGTTTAATGTCCTCGAGCAATATCAAGACCAGGATATCCTTGTTCTCATCAAATAGCTTGTGCTGAGCCATCGTCATTTCCAATTGGCACCATTGACTCTGAGCAAAGTTGTTGGACAACACGAGAATCGTCTTTCTACTGACGTCTAAAGCGTCCACGATGTTATCCAAGATGTCATGGCCTACGATGAAATCTCTGTCGTGAAGACAAAGTTTGAAACCAGCGTCATATTCCAATTTCGGGAGAAGTCTTTGTATAACCCAATGGCGATCATGGCAGTTGTAAGACACAAATGCGTCGAATACGAAGGTACCGTTATTTTCAAACGGTTCGAGGCGTTTGTAACGTGAACGCAGTGTAAAGCACCAGTAGCGTATGTACCATCGATAACGGTGGGACACCACTATCACGAGTGCCAGAAATAACAGTGTAGGGACTCCGATGGCGCTGGCTATGACCCATGCTGGCAGCGGCGTGCATTGGGCCTTGGTAGGATGCCAATCTAGAAACTGGGTTTTTGCCAGTTTTTCGGGTGCGTAACACTGGTAGTAATGGAGCTGTAGGAGTTTTACCTTGGTGGATTGTATCCAATTCCGCAACCATAAATTTTCACACGTACAGGAAAAGGGGTTTCCCGCCAAATTAATTTCCGTCAGATTAGTCCATATGAACTGAGGAAACGACGTTTCATTTAGAATACGAATGTTATTGTGATCCATGAACAGTTTTTTTAATGACAGTAGCGGTTGGAAAACGATTGGATCCCACGTTGACAGGTAGTTAGATTGCAGTTGAAGCGTACTCAGCATTCCATTGTTAGCAAACATTTTTGGAGGAAGGTTTGCTAGCTTAGAGTTATGGATATACAGTTTCCGGAGTTTTGTGAGATTGCGGAACATTGTCTCTAATGCGGTAGAATTCATATCATTCAACTGGTTGTTGTGCATAGAACGATCGTGCAAGTTTGGTGAATTTGAAAATATGTCACATTGGTTCGAGGAAAAGCTGTATTTGTTCATGCTTATGTCAAGATAGATGAGGGAATTGCTGGCAAACGCCATCGGTAAAATCGATCGCAAATTCAGCTGATGCCTTAACATAACATGTTGCAATTTGGGCATGTATTTAAACATGTTGCCTGGTAGAATTTGGATTAAATTCCATCCTAAGTCTATTTTTTTGGCACCTTTTAAGGCTATTAAATCAGTAGGTGTGACATAGTTAATGTTATTTTTACCCAAGCTTAATTCAAACAGATTTGGGAAGAATGGATGCGTTTCATTTCCAAAGTTTGGAATTTTGTTCAGGTGGTTATTACGTAAATCTAACCAGCGTAGATTCCTCAAACCAGCAAACGTATCAGTCTCTACAGTTTGTAGACCATTTCCTCGAAAAAGGAGGGTTCTCAAATTGGTCAGATCTGCGAAAATGGAACCTGGAAGAGTGGTGATGCCATTATTGTGCAAGCCCAACTTTGTAAGATTGCTACCTTTGAGGCAACGGAAAAGAGACCTGTTTAGTGTTTTGGTTCTAGAGAGTTTTTTCAATTTGCTTATTGAAAGTACTTGTATTGTTTTAGATGTATAACAGAACACTGGCTCCAGAATATCCAGAGGTAATCTAGTGTTTTCCGTCAGATTTATGAAACGTATGTTGATCAAGGGTTGAAAGGCAGCAATGTCTATGTCAGTCAGATGGTTGCTGCCCAGCGACAGATTTTTCAGTTGAGAAAGGCCTGCAAAAGAATCGTTTTGCAAAGTGACTATCCGGTTGCCGGTGAGGAACAGAGACAAGGTCGCATTGTCGCACTTGGGGACCTGGGTCAGGTTCAAATAATTACAATTCACCTTTCGACGGTGATGATCGCATCGACATCCTTGTGGACAGTAGAAAGCTTCAACCGTCCAGTTGCTTAGCATAAAGATAACCAGTACCGCAACTGCTGTCTTCATGTCGGAACAAACCTGCAGATGAAAACAACGGCATGTATTTCTCATATTTTTCAACGTATATGTTAAATATTTAGAAGATTCAGTCCAAAGCTCTAGTAACCCTGTCCTTGTGAAGGCCTTAACCAAACAGGTACAATATTCGTGCACCTCTAGCAACGACACTGATGAAATGTTTAGTGAATATTATCCCACGGTATCTTAACTCCAATAACACTATGGTATGGCTTGATTATTTATCTGTTTCTACAAGTATATCCAAGATTCTGATCAGGAAAATCACGATTTCATGCATACCATGTTGTGTCAAAAAAAAAATTCTCGAGCTCAAGGGCGGATCAAGGATTGTTTGAAGGGGGGAACGGAACGACAGAGCTCGGATGCGAAGCCGACTATCGCCCCTTTTGTGGGTTTAGGGTGAAGGGCCCCGTAAATTCTTTGGGGTTTTGGAGAGCAAACAGTACCCTTTGGTACGGTTTAGAACTATGATTTAGTTAGTTAAAATTCTTATTTCAAGAGGGGGAATATCGGAGTGATATGTTTTTCAGAAACCGAAGGGGGAGGGGATCAGGACCTCCTGACCCCCTCTAAATCCGCCACTGAACAGACATGGATTTGGAATCTATATTCAATAAGACCTACATAGATGAGAAAACATTTCAAAATCGATAATCCTTTTGAAATTTATTTGGTTTGGCAAAAGATACGGTACGCGCAAGAAAAGTCCGTATCATTTCTTAACACATATCAGTACGAGACAAAAGCAACACAATTAAGGCTGTGAATAAAGGTAAAAAAATACAAAGAAATTTCATATAGCATGTCCAAGACGACCTTTTTGTATAAAAAAATGCCACCATGGCTTACAAGTATATACTAATTTCTATAATCTTTCACAATTTAGCATAATTGAGTAAAGCTGAATACAAGTGTGTGCTTCCTGGCGGCACTAAATACTGTTGAAGATACAAGACAGTGTCGGCAAAAGGAAAAAACGTTCTAAAGTCAAACATGGACTGGTATTTGAAAAGCCTGTGTAATTGACTGCAACCAGTGGCCTATATATAGATATTTACTCCAGTGGTGCAGCTATGAGTGGCAGTGTGTATATTATTATCTACCGGTAGAAGTGGAGTGTTTGCGTTCACAACAGCCAAAGATATCCACGTTACATCCTCATTTGCTTCCTGGTTAAGATTTGCTTCCTAGGCTCATATGAACATAAAATTCATTAACAGTTACAAAAACATGAAGGTATTAAACAANATTTGATAGGGGGCACCTTAGGAACAATTCTAGGTTGCACGATGAGGTTGCAGGTTCACACAGAGCACTTTTAATAGCAGATAACTTACAGAACCAAGGGAATGAGCAGCTACCCTGGTCATCAAAATCGCCACATTTGAACCACATAGACAATATTTCGGTAGACCATTACTCACCAATCAACTGCCTACATGTCCTACAACAAAACTGGACCAGATTGGACAATTTTAGACCGATGCCTGGAATGCTATTCCAGATTGACCTCTTAAAACCTACCCCCAAGAAATGCCTTGCCGCTTGAGAGCGCTGGCAACAGCCACGAAGAGGCCAGGCGTAACAACGACCATTACTGTGACTAGCAACTGACATGAGGGTCTTTTGTGGAGCGTATTACCCTTTTACAGACGATAATTTGGAAAATATGGAGATCTAAAATATCTCTTTTAATGGGAGTCGTATGACATGGAATAGGCAACGTGTTTTTGTTTGCTTCTCTGGCGAATTCCATTAATGAACTGATGTCACAATGACATCAAAGAGATAATTTAAAGTTATTAAAACACGATTTTAATCCTTATTTTCATTTATCAGTCAGCAAAATAGGAAAAAACTGATAAAAAATTATTTCGAAAAAAATATTCCATATTAAATGTCAAGTCTGTATATGCATGGCCTTTAAGTTACAATTTCCAAGGTTTAGATTAATATATATAGTTATTTTCTTATATATATATATATATATATATATATATATAACAAAGTCACAGTCACCTCAACCTGTCTATCTATAACAGGGTACCGAGAACTGTCAACTTTATTAACTTCACTCCATCACATTTACAGCAACTTATTCATCCTAGTGTTAGCTGACCTTGCAAGGAATTCAGTTTATTGGAATGTATTTCTGAATAACAAGTTAAGAAAATTCACTGGTTCACTAAAGACACAAAACAACTGTCACTTTTACTTTAAAACACTTTTTTATTATTTTGATAAAGTTAGTTATGATAAAGTATTGATAAACAAAGTATCACGTTTTCAATAATTAATATTTTAAATTACAATCCATGTCTGCAAGGTTGTGTCAATGACCAAAATACAACGTTGAGTCAACGTCACATTATGACGGTGTTTTGACGTGGCTGGATCAACGCTGATTTTACGTTGAATTTAGGTAGATCAACGGCAATTCAACGTACAGGGTATCAACCTGTTTTCAACGTTGATCCAACGAGACTATGCCTGCTGGGTGTATTACTATTGAATAAATATTTCAAAATAGGTATATATAAAATTGCTTTCGATGGCGCAATCACACACACGCGCACAAGCACACACACACACACTTTGACAAAAAAAAACTGTAAAGGTTTAACCTGTGCATTCAAATTGTCGAAGTGAAGTTGACAACAGGAAGTAGTAAGACAGAATAACCTTAATTAATATAATCTGGATTTATGCTACAAACTTAAAAATCACGAAAACCTCTCACCTTTAATTGTGCCTCTAGGTATTGTAAACTATATTGCAGCACGTTTTATCTTTCAGGGAGAGTTTTTAAAAAATTAGTCTAGCACTTCCACCTTCAAACCGTCGTGACTGAATCGACAGGATCATCCGTGAAGTACAATGCGCGTATCGGCCGTATGGGTAGGATGAAAGGGAATCTACCTGTAAGTAGTGACTAAGGTCATAACACTAGGGGCCTTTAAGATGACCTACATATGACAAGCAAAAAGGAAACAGCACGTGGAACCGAAGCGAGATCATGCATTTATTTTTAACGTTATGACATTGAGAAGCGATTGCCAATATTCATACTTAAAGTGTTTGAGAGATATTGATAAATGCGTTTCCCGTCAGATACGGTCCTATTATATGGTAATTTATTTGTGCAAAATGCCCTTAAACTGAAACACATTTTTCACCTCCAGTGCAATCGACCTAACCTGTATACTTTATTGTGCTGTTAAAATGCATGTACACACGGTTTCAGTAACCGGTTTATGCATGTTCTCAACAAAAAAAATGCATTTTATTTATTTATTTATTTATTTTATTTATTTATTTATTTATTTATTTATTTGCTCACATCTTGTATGAATACGTATACCTTTTTGATCTGTCCAGATTAATTTTTGCGTTTTTTTTTTTGTTTTTGTTTTTGTTCTTCTAGCAGGTAAATATGGAAGTTTTATACTGAGAGAGGGCGTAAAGCTTATAAGCTCTTCTGTAAAGCGTGTCTTTGCATGACAAATGCATATTATTGCCTAGATGACAAACAGGTGGTTAATTCCCTTCTTATTATCAGTCAAGCTTTATAATACAGACCTGGCCCCGGGCCTGTAATAATCATTATTTTGACATCATTACTCAAGTCTATACAAACAGTACGCGGTGGGTGGGGGGAATTGCCTCTATACGCTTTTGGAAAACTAATAAAATTATGATATTCACCCCCAGGCTGTGCTGGAAATGGTTATCATCATGCACCCGAAGGCCTGAAGAGGTTAATTCTTTCATTTGTACACTTGTGAAAATAATGATACAATGGATGAACCCTGACATAAGCGATTACCATTGGCAATCCTGTATCCCTACTTTTTCCACCATTTTTTTTCTTTTTTTGCCAACTTTCAGATCCAAGTTGCACTGTTAAAACGGTAGTGTAAAGATAACAAAAGGATTGTAACAATTTCTCGCAGTCGTCTCCTGTGGCTGCCGTCACAACCAGTTGATCTGCGGACTAACTAGTCCGCGGATCAAACGTGGCGCGCACTTATCAATGGATACCTGCCTCCCACGGTCCCAGGAGGGAAATTAAACGATAATTATTATCCCCTAGCAGCTTCAGTAGGCGTGACAGACGTCTAAGCCGCTTCAGCTGATTGCAATTTAGTGAGAATCACCTTGGATATAGATCGATCCACAGTTTGTACGATAGGGTCTGGGAATGGTCACTTAATTACCGGTACGACAATATAAGAATTAGGTGCACTAGTAATTTTCTATTCAAATGAATCTGAATTATTGGTATTACAGCACCCAGGGGATCGTGCAAAGCAATCTGTAAAGAAGTCCACTCTTAAAACAATATATAACCCTGTTTTTACTAAATCAATGTATTCCAAGATACGTAATGATACATTATACTGTATATAACAATACATACATGTAATATAAATGTACACTTGTGAAAATAATGATACAATGGATGAACCCTGACATAAGCGATTACCATTGGCAATCCTGTATCCCTACTTTTTCCACCATTTTTTTTTCTTTTTTTGCCAACTTTCAGATCCAAGTTGCACTGTTAAAACGGTAGTGTGAAGATAACAAAAGGATTGTAACAATTTCTCGCAGTCGTCTCCTGTGGCATGATACCTAACAATATTTTAATGATATACAACAATATATAACAATATTCCAAAATTGACTACAATGTACATTTTCGCCTTTTTGTCATTTAAATCATTCTAAAAGCAGAAATATAAAACTGTTGATTAGTTCATTAATTACAGTATGTAAAGTTATACTTGATTCGCTTGGTTCATTTCTAGGGCCATGCAAAGTTTCTTAAAACTGGATGTGAAATATCATTATAGCGTTCCATGCCCATACGGTTTTTGGAGAGCTGCCTTCACTCTTTCCCAGAAGAGGTCTTGACCTTCTTCCTCGCGAGGCCACTCTATGTAGGTCTGCTTCCTTAGCAACAGGGTCAGTCTGTTGCTGAGGTTCTCAGGTTTAATGTCCTCGAGCAATATCAAGACCAGGATATCCTTGTTCTCATCAAATAGCTTGTGCTGAGCCATCGTCATTTCCAATTGGCACCATTGACTCTGAGCAAAGTTGTTGGACAACACGAGAATCGTCTTTCTACTGACCTCTAAAGCGTCCACGATGTTATCCACGATGTCATGGCCTACGATGAAATCTCTGTCGTGAAGACAAAGTTTGAAACCAGCGTCATATTCCAATTTCGGGAGAAGTCTTTGTATGACCCAATGGCGATCATGGCAGTTGTAGGACACAAATGCGTCGAATACGAAGGTACCGTTATTTTCAAACGGTTCGAGGCGTTTGTAACGGGAACGCAGTGTAAAGCACCAGTAGCGTATGTACCATCGATAACGGTGGGACACCACTGTTACGAGCGCCAGAAATAACATTATAGAGACGCCGATGGCGCTGGCTATGACCCATGCTGGCAGCGGCGTGCATTGGGCTTTGGATGGATGCCAATCTAGAAACGGAGATTTAGCTAATTCCTTTGGCTCATAACAACGGTATGAGTTACGTTGATGAAGGGCCACAATCGTTGTTTGGGTTGTGTCCATCCAAGTACGGAACCAAAAATTATCGCACGTGCAAGAAAAAAGATTTTCTGCAAGGCTAATTTTTGTAAGGTTTTTCCAAACGAACGGTGGCAACGATGACTCGTATATAGTACGAATTAGGTTATTTTCCAAATATAGCATTTGCAATGAAAAAAGAGATTGAAAAACGACTGGATCCAACGACGACAACTGGTTTGACCCAAGTTGTAGCTCACGGAGGAACGGTTTGGTCTCGAACAATTTGGGTGGAAGATGAGTCAATCGTGTCTGGCTAATGATGAGTTTTCTCAGTTTTGTAAGGTTTCTAAATAACTTTTCCAGTGCTGCATCGTCGATCTTATCCAGATGGTTGTCGGACATGTAAAGCTCTTGCAAATGTGGGGCATGAGAAAAAACGTCCGAATTTGCATCCTTGAATTGAAAGTTGTTGATACTGATATCGAGATGAAAAAGAGAAGCACTTGCAAATGCCAGATCCTGAATTTCTTTCAAGTTTCGTTGATGCTGTAAAAAGGCGAATTGTAATTCAGGCATGTATTCAAACATATTATTTGGGAATTTTGTCAATAGATTCCAACCAATATCCAGCCTTTGTAAGTATTTAAGGGAAATGAAATCAGCAGAGTTGAGAGAGCTGATGTCATTATAGGCAAGATGTAATTCAAGCAAATTTGGACAAAACGGATACGTCACATTTCCAAAGTTTGGGATTTGACTCAAGTGATTGTTTCGCAAATCTAGCAAGCGTAGATTATTCAAGCCAACAAATGTTTCCTTCCTAAAGGCAATATGATTATCACGTAAAATCAGATTTTGCAATTTTGTCAATCCTGAAAAAAAGGAGTCAGGAAGCGTGTGTAAACTGTTATAGCTAAGGTCCAACTCCGTGATATCGCTGCCATTAAGGCAACGGAGGAGGGAACTTCTCGGAGTTTGGAATTCGGCAGTCTTTCTTCCTTTGTATCTATTCAGACAGAGCCGCTGTATTGTTTTAGATACATGGCAAAAGGCCGGCTCCAGATTATCTAGATACAGCATTTTCCCTTTCAGATCTATAGAGAGGATATTCTCCAAAGGCTCGAATGCCTCTTTTTCAGCATGTGACAGTGTGTTACTACTCAGCGTCAAATTTTCCAGTTGCGACAGTCCTGCAAAGGAATCGTTTCGCAGAGAAGATATCCAAATGTCATTCAGAATCAAAATTAACGTCGTATTATCACAATGCGGCACTTGCGTCGAATTCAGATTATGACATTCCACCTGACGAAGAGATGATTTGCAGTGGCATCTTGGCGGACAGTAAAACCCTGCAGCACCTGTAAGCGTCAACGCGAATGCCAATATTGTAGTGTTGATTGTCATGGCAGGTAGATCCTAAAGGTAAAAAAGAGTCACTTTGATTTTTGCTAGTACATACTTTAAGGCGGTGATTCTTATAGTCACTGAAAAATACATGCAAAATAAATATGTCAAAATTTTATACCACCCTACATGAACTGATCCACACGAAAACCACATTTTATGCACTTTAATTACTAAAGAGGGGTTCGGAATGAATAATATATCCCCCAACATACTGTTTTTTATCAGTGCCGCACCACATCACCTGAGAGCTGGTCTATCATCAAAGATGCAAGGAAACAGGCAGGTAGGAAGCATGCATTTGGCGATAAGGTTGTTTTAATTGTCTTATGAAAATACTCATCAGATTTCATCATCTTAACTGCAACCAGCTGTTAATGAAAAATACAGATGGGGAAGTATCCTGTAAGTGACTTCTACCAGTGACCTATAGCTACATGTACCTAGCCCCATCTAGTCCAGTGATGCAGCTTATACAGTTTGTATGCACCGGTGTAACGTGGCAGTGTGCCCCATGATGTAGTCCACTACCCATTCATTTGTATAGGTAAGCCTCGTCCTAGATTTTGACTCACTTTTAGGTCAGGCTAACCCTAAACAATTATAACTAAATGGAGGGCGGGTTTATTTATTCATTTATTTATTTATTTATTGCTACACAGACTCTCAGTTTCGTTACACCAGTAAAAGAGTTTGCAAATCTGCAAACCATTATAACAGTGTGACAGGAATGGTAGTTCTAGGAATGGAAGTCCTGGGCCCCATATGGTAGTACAGGTTAGGGGTTAACTAGAGTATTGGGTTATATGGGATGAATATCACCTGTACAAATTGATGGAGAAAGTGCCAAGAGTGTTAGAATAACCTCATCACGTGACATTTCAAATTTTATAGTCATAAGTACCTCTTACCTTATATTGCTGCATCTAGATGTAATACCTGGCACTCTTTATCCTTCACGTAGACGATGGGGAGATTTTTTATAATTGCCAAGCGCCTTCATGACCCAACTGCTATGGCTAGATCTACAGGAGCATTAAGGAAGTACCTCAGTTGCTATGTGCGTGGTGTTGATAAGGAGAAAGGGAACGTAATTAGGACACAAGAGGCTGAGTCATTTCATAATACCAGACGCTCATGTAATGACCTACATATGGCAAGCAAAAGAGAAACAGTGTGGATGAGCCCTGGCGAGTTCATAGTGTATTTTAATAACATGCTCCTGATAAAGCACATTTAACCAAGTTATTGGTAAATGTATTTCCAATCAGTTAAGGCCCTATTATATGGTAATTCATATGTACAAAATATCCTTGAACCAGTACGTGTAACCAACCAGGCCTGGATGCTTTTGTGCTAAAATGTACATCTGGTTACAGTTTATGTTATGGGCTTACGTTCGTAACAAGTGATGCATTCTTGTGGGTGTTAGATTTCCACTTGTATGCCAAACACTGTAGTTGGAGACATCTGATTTTTCACGATTATGTGTACTTATATCAGATAACGAGGAAGTTATTGATTGTCTATTCCCTGGCACTTGTCATCCTTCACGTGGAGAATGGGAGGGTTAATAAAAATTGTTTAACTCTTTCAAAATCCAACCATCATTACTAAATCTATAAGAAAAATGAGGGAGTGACTCACACGTTTAAATACATTGTGCTGATAAAGAGAAAGCGGATGTAAACATTGCGAAAGAGGCTGAGTCAATTTAAAATACTAGGGACTCATGTAATCACCTACATGTACATATTGGTATCAAGCTTTTAGAAATTAGCAGTGGTGAAATGTTATTTGAAAATGGAAATTTTCTGGCAATCACGCATACAGGGTAAGACAATGGAATGAATACAAAGAAATGCGCGATCGGTATGGAGAAAGAGATTACATGTACTCTCGAATCTGTTAGAAAAATTAGTCAGAAATAATGTTTGAAAGTTCCAAACTGTCGTCGTCATCACCACAATAACTTCTGTACAAAATGACTAAGAACTAAGACTGCATTCCCACAACCTCATCGTACCAGCAGGATCGATCTATCTCAGCGGGGATTATCGCTAATGCACAGTCAGTGTAATAAGGTAAACTGTCTGGCACGTCCCTCGCAAAGCAAAATGAACAACATCATGGACCATAAAGTTTTCTCGGCTTTACCCAAGTACTTCAAGTTACAAGGGAGCGTGCCATACATTTAAGCTGTTTAAACTGAATGCAATTTATGCGAGAACCCCGAGGAGTTAGATCGATCCAGCTAGTACGATAGGGTTAAAGGAATGGTCCCTAAAACACAATCAGCACCGCCAGTGCAATCGATCCGACCTGCATACCTCATTGTGCTGTTGATCTACATGTGCAGATCTGGGCCCCATAACACGAACGCATCTCGTATTGCGAATAGCGATATCACATAGAGGCTACAATGTTATTATATGGGACGAGTATGGGCGATTTATGATATGGAGACGCTTTCGCTCGGTCGCAATGCGCGATGCTTTCGAGTTACTGTTATGGGTTTACGTTCGGTATAATATGATGCATTGTTTACAAGTATTAGGTGTTCATTTACGTGTCTAACACCATGTATTAACACCATTAAATCAGATTGAGAATAATTTGTGTTTTTGTCGATAAATAAGGAAGTTATTGACTGAGAGTAGTGTATAAAATATGCTGTAACGATTTTCTTTGCTTGCATATTGACAAGGTGTTTACTCCTTTCTAAATGACGAACAGGTGGTTCATTTACCTCTTATTAACAGAGAACAAAAAATTTGCCAAAAAAGCCCGGGCCAGTAACAGATAGGCTGTTTTAAAACGCCCGTTATTATCAGTCCCGTATATCTTTTTTCCCATTTTTATCCAATTTTCAGGTTGGGATGTGATTGGGTTTCAAGCCGACTGTTTTCCATTCATGACAGATTCATAGTTTTCAGTAAATTTTGAAAACATTTATACAATCACCGATACTAATTTGATTCTATATTCTGGTAATGATACCGATTCGTCCAGATATATTTGATACTTGATTGCAGACTTAATTCGACGTGTTTAATATTTTTGCCACGGCATGATGTAGCCAAATAGTACGCGCGCGCCAACTTATAGTTTCAAATGGTATATCTAATAGAAAAAACCATAGTTTCATATTACCCGAAAATAACATTAGAATGGATGTTGTCTATTTCCTTTCTGTACTAAACCGGGGCAAATGAGTAGGTCAGGTACGTAGTTCAATGTGCGACCACAAACTTGAAAAAGGTGCAGTTTTAAAGCTCTTTCATGGTTGATCTATTCATTGGGTTTATCAACTTTAATTTTAGCCGTATTAGAAACTATAGAAAAGTGGTTCGAATGTGTTACTGGGAAACCACGCTCGCTTTGAATGTAACTTTTAAGTAAAGTTTGAAACAATATTTTGCAGTCGTTTTCTGTATTAGTCGGTTGTTATATTCTAGTGAAAGGGAAATACTTATTTTACAATATACAGGAGATCGTGCGACATCGTTTGTAGAGAATAGTATGTTTTAACATTGTTTAATAATAATAATAATAATAATAATAATTTATTTGCTAAAATCGCAACCTAAAGGTTGAAGTTTTACAATGTGTCTTAAATAGTAAAATCATAAGGTATTTTAAAATTAACTAAAAATTATAAACTAAAGAACCAAAGCTTTAAAACAAGACTTATAAGACAGTTTGAAGCAGTAAGTTACATAAAATTTAAAAGACTGTGCATTATAAAGGATGATTTAAAACGCTCCTTTTTCACTTTTGGTATTAAAAATTTGTTGCTGACCCTGAGATTTCTTGGGTTCTTTTGTTTAAACAGATGGTGTAGCTTATTAAAATTCTTGATTTTTGTAAAAAAGTTCTTAAATAAAACGTCTCTTCTCTCCCTCAGAGAGGTGAGATTACTAGCCTGTAGGGCATCCTTGTAAGTATAAAATGGGTAAATAATTCTAAGAGCTCTCCTTTGAACAGATTCTAAGCATTCACATTGTTCGGCTATCAGACCAGGCCCCCACAACAATATATGTCATCCTTAATTAATTACCTCAATGTATTTCATAATATAACAAAACCAACGACCATCGATGTAAGAAGTGACTCAACTTTTTTGTCTTTTTCCCATTTAAATCAATCAATATGAGAGAAAGATTTGTCAGATTCTTTCATGATTTAACTTTACATTTAATTCATTAGATCGATTCTTATGGTCATGCCTCTTTAGAGTGCATTTCAAATTCACCATTATAAGGTTCCATAACCAGAAGGTTTTTGGAGAGCCGCCTTCACTCTTTCCCAGAAGAGGTCTTGGCCTTCTTCCTCGCTAGGCCACTCTATATAGGTCTGCTTTCGTAGCAGCAGGGTCAGCCTATTGCTGAGGTTCTCAGGTTTGATGTCCTCGAGCAATATCAAGACCAGGATATCCTTGTTCTCATCAAATAGCTTGTGCTGAGCCATCGTCAATTCCAATTGGCACCATTGGCTTTGAGCAAAGTTGTTGGACAACACGAGGATCGTCTTTCTGCTGACGTCTATACCGTCTACAATGTTGTCCACGATGTCATGGCCTACGATGAAATCTCTGTCGTGAAGACAAAGCTTGAAGCCAGCGTCATATTCCAATTTCGGAAGCAGTCTTTGTATAACCCAGGGACGATCATGGCAGTTGTAAGATACAAATGCGTCGAACACGTAAGTACCGTTATCTTCAAACGGTTCGAGGCGTTTGTACCGGGAACGCAGTGTAAAGCACCAGTAGCGTATGTACCATCGATAACGGTGGGACACCACTATCACGAGTGCCAGAAATAACAGTGTAGGGACTCCGATGGCGCTGGCTATGACCCATGCTGGCAGCGGCGTGCATTGGGCCTTGGTAGGGTGCCAATCTAGAAACGGAGATTTTGACAGTTTTTTTGGTTCGTAACAAAGGTAGGCATGAAGCTGTAAAAGTTTTACGTTGGTGGATTGTATCCAATTCCGGAACCATAAATTTTCACATGTGCAGGAAAATGGGTTACCTGCCAAATTAAGGTCCGTTAGATTGTCCCAAATAAACTGCGGAAACGACGTTTCATTTAGAATACGAATGTTATTGTGATCCATGAACAGTTTCCTTAATGACAACAGCGGTTGGAATACGATTGGATCCCACGTTGACAGGAAGTTGGATTGCAACTGAAGCTCGCTCATCATTCCGTTGTTAACAAATACGTTGGGAGGCAAGAATGACAAGCCAGTATTTTGTATATACAGTTTTCGTAGTTGTGTGAGATTCCGGAACATTGTCTCTAATGCTGTAGAATTCAAATTATTCAGCTGGTTATTGTGCAGATAAAGAACCTGCAAATTGGGTGACTTGGAGAAAAAGTCGTAAGAGTTCGAGTAAAAGATGTATTTGTTCACACTTATGTCAAGATAGATGAGCGAACTGCTGGCAAACGCCATCGGTAAACGCCATCGCCAAGTTGTACAGCGACAGTACTTGTATTGTTTTGGATATGTAACAAAACACTGGCGCAAGGCTATCAAGAGGTAATCTCGTATTTCCCGCAATATTTATCAAACGTATGTTGATCAAGGGTTGAAAGGCAGCAATGTCTATGTCAGTCAGAAGGTTGCTGACCAGCGACACATTTTCCAATTGAGAAAGACCTGTAAAAGACTCGTTCTGCAAAGTGGCTATCCAGTTGTCGATGAGGAACAGAGACAAGGTCGAATTGTCGCACTTTGGGACCTGGGTCAGTTTCAAAGTGTTACATTTTACCACTCGAAGATGGGAATCGCATCGACATCTTGGCGGACAGTAGAAAGCTTCAACCGTCCAGTTATTTATCATAAGGATAACCAGTACCGCAACTGCTGCCCTCATGTCGAAAATAGCCTGCAGATAAAAACAATGCCCACTGTATTTCTTGTATTTTTCAACGTTGCATATTTTGTTATCTACATCATTGCAAATGTTAAACATTTAGAAGATTCAGTTCCAGTCTTTTGTGGCCATGTCATTATAAAGGTAAGCCTTTGCCACCAAAATGAACACCGTTAGAACAATAAGCAACCTTATGAAGTTGTGTCAATTCTGTAAAATGCTCGAGATTATATGATAGCGATTCATTGTACTTCATGTATTTTCCAGACACTTACTCTCCCTAACGTTACCTCTCCGACTCACTTTCTCCCTCCCTTACTCTGTCACTCCTCCCTTCCTCCCTCTCTAAGGCTCTGTTCCCATAGATTTAGATCGATCTATCCCCGCGGGGAGTCTCACTAGATTACTTTCAGATAATCCGACTTAAATGTCCGTCCCGCCTACTACAAGCTGTAAAGGGGGTAATTAACTTTCGTGTTGCTGACAGCTATTTAGCGTGAACCCCCAGGGAGTTAGGTCGATCTAAAGTAGGTCGATCTAATCTATGGAAATGGGGTGTAACTCTCTCTCTCACACACACAGACACATCCAAAGTTATTATACTGGATAACTTACAAGAAATCGTTTAACACGCCACTCCTTCATTGACTGTCACCCTGCTGTAAGCGAGTTCAGTATACTGTAAAGTGTTTAAGTCGATCAGTCTGAGTAACTCTGTAAACGCGGGTGTCCAAATCCACAGTTTATACGGGCATTTTAAACAAATCGGATGCCTCTTGCGACGACACAGATGAAATGTTGCATAACCCTTATCATGCCTTATCTCCAGTTACTTCGCCATTATTCTAACTATTCTATTTCCTTTTGTACAAGTATGTAAACGAGTCCGATTAGAAAAGCTTGATAATACACTATGATCACAAGATTGTGACAATTTAACCCAGACTCGAGCTGAACAGTTGGTCCTGTAATCACCATTTGGTAAGACGAGTCTAGAACACATTGGTTTTTTTATAAGACCTGTATGGATAAGTAAATATTTCGAAATCAACGATCTTTTCGCTAGATTATTGAGTTTCATAGAAGCAGTTATGAAAAGTACTCGAAAATGCGAGACAAAAGTGAATTAAGCTTGTGAATGCAGGTCAAGAAACCAAAAGCAAATGAATGTCAACTGGCATGTTCAATACTAATTTTATGTGTTTAAAATGTGGCCATACTTTTGTGAATCACAGCAATCTTTTTAAAATGTAGTGTAAACGAGTCAGGTTGAACCATACTAAAGAGTCCTTCTGCAGGACCAGCCCTAATTAATGTAAATGTACGTTGAGTTGTAAATGCAAGACAGTGAACGTGTCAACAAAAGAGGAAATATAAAATATTTTAAAAAATGACAAACTTGGACTTGAATTACGTAATTTTTCTTCAGTCAACAGCTTAATATTGAAATAGTTTATCTCCAATTTTTCGATGTCTAACTTTTTTAATTTTGGAGAAACATTCTTATAACAAACACAGCTGATGAAATTCTTTTTGAAATTGGAGTTCTTCTTGAACTTGATTTTTGTATTCCCCGTAGACAGTTTCATTAGCAGAAAACTTCGTTCATTTAAAAAATCATGTTGTCGCATGCTGATACCAAAATAGTTTGACTGGTGGGGTCGTAGAGAAGCCCATGTACAAGGAAAGTTGTAGACTGGGAACGCGCCGGGTAGTCAAGGAGTCCAAGTGTCTATCAAATCACACCACAAGGCTACCCGTTATGCTTATCTCTGTATTGTTTGAATGAGTGCTATATTAGCACTCCTCTTATCTCGTGTCATAAGTGAAGGTCTTGACTTGCGGTGGTCGATCGTGCCTTCATAAGAGGAGGAACAGTTATGATTAGATTGGATAAGAGGGAAATATGTAAGGGTTATCAGTGACTGGGTACATGTACAAATATACTTGAGTAGGTCTCATTTAGATGTGTATTTCACACTGCACATAAGCCCCTACTTCAATCTGTGTTGAACACAATTTGTTTCTTGACATTGCACCCGTAAGCCATCTTTCTTTATTTCTTTGATATTTCACTTCGGCGGCTAAATGACTTATTGATGTACTGTATCCGGTTCATGACCCCCGATTCTCTCGCTAACCCCTGAAGAGTAGAGAGTTCTTGCCATTCATTGGAAATGCATGGTGTGAAATGACAAAAGGAATAGTAATAATCAAAAGGGGAATGTCCATTGTATATAGTCGGTCCGTTTGTCTCTTAAGAACAATGCACTTGAAAGGGTCCGATGTCTACATCAATAACAATGACAGCGTGATTAGATGAAACAATCTTCCTTGTCTAAATTTTAATTAAAGCCAGAATTACTATATACGATGAGGTAAGAGCGCAATGTGATCGCTAAAGGTAATGAGACATTTAAAACTTATCCTGGGTTCTTACTAGCATGTTGAAATGGAGATGACGACATTCTGACCTTATCACAAGGCCTTCGTCAGAGGAAATAATTTAGAAGTTTTCACCGGCGTGTACTTGCCGTTTTAACGTTAGATCCAGTTGTAGATTTAATTTCCTCGTCATCTTAACATGATACAACTGGATTTAAGGATTAAGACTGTAAGGAAATCAGTGTCGTGCTGACGACATGTTGGGTTTTGCATATCATTTAAGTGGAAAATAATAAAGGTATTCTTATATATTCATAGATTTATTATTATTATTATTATTATTATTATTATTATTATTATTATTATTATTAGAATATCTACGTGTCACCTGTGAGATCATTGTTGTCAGGTCTCAAAATGTTGATCACAGCAAAAGAGTCTCTCTCTCTTTTTTTTTTTTTTTTAGAAAAAAATAGCTATGATATCCTAGGAGCCTCCAGCCCCAGTCATTTAAATCGCTGAATACAACAACGCATTTAAGTAAGAATGCATTATTATAGAAACGGAAGAGTAATACATTATCCTATTAACGTCAGAAATTATCTTCAATTATTACTATTCCCATGTAAAGATTAAATTCCAAAAGAAACCACAACAGAACACGTTGCGCAGCTTCTCCTCTCATATACACAGCAATCTTTATCATTTTATTGAACATTAAGCTTTCGCCTGTAAATACAATCTTCTCAAAACAATCTTTTTCATTAAGATTAAAGATTTCAAAAGGTCATATTCTTGCCAGCCAACATGTCCAAATTGATATATTGTGCTGTGTTCTTGGCAGCTGAATATCAGTGTATATTAGGATCGAACTCCTCAGGGGAAATCTTGTCGTCATTGTTGGCGTCCATCTTGTCGAATTCGGCGTCGATCTCTGCCTCAGTTTCGCTCCCATGGTTGCCCAGGGCGCCACCGAACTCCTCACGGCTTATAAAACCATCTCTGAAATTTGAAATGTCACTTCAATAAATCACAATGTAAAAATTTTACAGTGTGGTGTAGGATATTTAGATTATGTCACAATTCTATCCCTTATTAAACTTTAAAGAAGTTTTTTTTTTTTTTGTTCCACACAAAATCATTTTGAAGGTTTGATATTAAACGTTTGTTTTAGTCATACGTCGTTTTAACTTAAACATCTCACTAAAACAATTCACGAAAGAGACGGCGAAAGATGGTGATTGCTTTTTTTGCGTTTTCTCTGTTGCAACTGTCAATGCATCCATCACAATACCAGAACTATTACGGGTTGATTATTAACACAATCATTTACATATTTTTTTAACATCTTTATTCTCTAAAAGGATACATATTAGCTACAGTATAAATAAAGGTGGCAAGTTGCCGAAGCATTACACGCTCAACTTTGAAATATCAAGTCATAAATTTAGGTAATGAAAAAAATATTCAAAGAAAAGACGAGTAACGATGACATAAAGTGACATTTGAGGGGAGGGAGGAACAAGGCATGAGAGGAAGATGTTTTTGGGAGGCAACAGGCCATCAAGGAAGAGTGGGTAGGCGCCTGGTCATAACTATAGGAGCAGAATTGGCCACTGGGAGGCCGTGGATAAGAAATAAGAAGATAAGAACAGATCACTGAGGAGGATTCATACATTTTCAATTAAGAAATTTGATACTATTTCAAAAATTTTGTCATTTTGACCAGAGGTTAGGGTTTTATGACCATGCAGAAACAGGAGTATCTTATCTAGGTTGGTTCTAAAATATACATAAGTTGCACCAATTATATCTTCAACAGATTCGTAGAAATCACGATATTTCCACTGTTTTAGCGAGCACTGAGAGAAAAAATGTCGGATGGTTTCGGGTTTCCCACATAAACAGTTGGGAGTCGCCACAGCTGTCCAGCTGTGGTCGTATAGTTGGGCTTTAAATAAGAAATCGATTTTTCATTTTGTCCCGGAAGCTTCAGATGTGTGGTGGACATTGTTGCGGGGAAGGTTTCATTTCTAAGCTATCATATTTGAGAGAAGATGCAGAAGGAAGATTTTTCTGGGTGGCGTTTAGTTCATCCCAGCTTGTCATCAAAAAGTGTTCAGGACCTATGTATGTTAATTTAGAGGGAATTATGTAGTCTCTCTTAGATGTTGTCCGTAAAGGTAGTGTGGATTTATTTCTTAACAGGATGAAGTAGTTAAAGACATTAATTGGGAGTTGTTTGTTGATTGTGGATATTGAACATGATTTTTATTTCGCGTGATTCCTTCGACGTTCATCCAGTGAAATCCAGTTCAGTAGTTTCTGTACTTTACAGCGATTAGAGCCAGGAAGGGCCCCCAATATATTAAGACCAGCTTGATAGTGGAGGGAGGATAGTTTTGATAGGTTATGTAAAGACGCGGTGCTATAGAAAACATCGCAGTAATTAAGCAATGGAGAAATGTACGAAATGTAAAGTATGTTAAGATGCTTAGATCGTAGAGTTTTAGAGAGCAATTTTAAGGGATTTAGTGCTTTTTGGGCCTTGGTTAAGATATATGTAATATGCTCGGAATAGTCAAGTTTATGATCAAGAATAAACCCAAGGTGTTTGTGGTATTTTTTCTGTTATAGCCGTGTTGCATAGAATAAGTGGACTGTACTTTTCTACATTTGGAAAAATCGTAGTAAAATCACTTCATTGCACTTTTTTGGTTTAAAAAATCATTTATGCTTCAAGGTATATGTTCGACCCGTCACGTCATCACCTCCCTCAAGAAACCATCGTCTATTGTAAGAATTAAAATCGCCATTTATTATGATTCCGTCATGTCGAGAGCGTCTTGTTTTCTCTAGGCCTTTGGATAGAAGGGACATGTTGGGCTGATTGATTAGGGCAAGAAGTTATAATCTCATTATAACTTCTTGATTAGGGGATCTGTAGAATACACCGTAAAGAAGAGTTTTATGCTTCACTCGCAGCTCCACCCATAGGCAGTCCAACACGTCTAATTGCAGATCAGCTCGTTTTTATACATTATATCATCGCATATATACAGGATAAGCCCTCGACCTTTATTAGAAAATACAGGTACTTGAAAGCCTTTGATTTTATACATGTACTTTTCACTTCGATCTTACCTAGGGAGAATTCCTGCTTCGCAGAGCAGAACAATATTATATAATCATAATAATGGCAAAATGGAATCTTTAATCAGCAGTAATGAGCAATATCTACGCGTGTATTAATAAATATCATTTTATTTAAATAAACTCAATGACATACTTTTTCCAGGCAAAAAAGTCTGTGTTATTGATTCTGTGTTATTGATATCTTTATAAACTGCCATTTATATTTTCTGACAATGGGACATTTCATAACTCATAATAAAGAGCGGTCTTTTTAAGGTCAAATTATCACTCAAACATTATGGCATGTTCCTTCACCATATGACTAACTTTTCCAATCAGAGACAGAAGAGTAATAAATTATTTTTCCGACTCACCCATCAGTGTCAAGGAGGCCGAAAATTTCCTCCGGATTGAGCGAGTTATCGTCTTCTCCAGGCGCTGCAGTTGTTACGTGTACAGTCGTCGCACAGGCTAGAATTAACGCGATTACTGCGAGACAAGTCATCTAAAATAAGAACATTGGTTATTCGATCACGGGCAAAGAAATGTGTCCGTGAACCATGAATAAAAGGAATTGAAAAAAGCTGTGAGGGATAAAAATTACAGAAAACTAATCTTCTATAATGTGAATATTGGCTATTCAAACCACGTGTAAAGAAAAGCGTCAGGTGTGCTATGTAACAATTAAGGCTTTAAAAAGAGATTTTAAGAAATACAGCTTGCATAAAGTCTTACCTTCAGCGAGTGTTTTCCTTGCTTGAATTAAGAGAATTCTATGCGCCCATGTAGACGGTGTTGACTGATATATGTACAACCAAGCCGGCACGTTTTGAAGA